AATCGAAAACTTCGAACCATCTGTCGTTCCATCTTCTCTAAGTTTTTCGAGCAAGATTAAGGTTAATCGAATTAAATAAAGATCCAGAGAAGTATTAATTTTCGTGGAAAATAATTTTCTACGAATCGACATTATTATGTCACATTCTTTTTATTTCGAATTCGAATAAGAATCGCAAACTTCGAACCATCTGTCGTTCCATCTTCTCTAAGTTTTTCGACGCAAAATCGTCGATATGTGAGTTAATCGAATTAAACAAAGATCCAGAGAAGCGTTAATTTTTATCGTAGAAACAATTTTCTACGAATCGACACTGTAACGTCACATCCTTTCTATTTCGAGTTCCTCGAGTATTTACGATGATCGAGGGTTTCTTGGAACAATCCGCTTTACAAGTTACCGACACTGAAAATGCATCGAGAAATTTCACGATTCTTCGAAGCAGCGAGTCTCGCCCACCCGCCAATCCGAGACCGTGCTCTCTCTCCCATTGCTCATTCGAACTATGCTAAATACCGCCTAATGAATACATACGGGCAGCTCCTCTCTTTGATACACTGCTGCTGTCTGCTTTATATAAAGCAGCGGCCAACTATTTGCCCTGTGGTCGACAGAATTTCAGCCTAGCCGGTGAAGGATCTAATGAACCTTTGGTACCATACCGCTTCGACCAGGGGAGGGGGATCGGATCCGCTAATTAATTAAAATTCTTCCGGAAAAATTCGCATGGTTGCGGACATTTTGGATAATTGGCCCGTTCCCGCCTCGAAATTTCTCCGCGTTCGCGGATCGTTCGATTCGCGCGTAAAAACCCACGCGCTCCTTTTTTCGTATTATCGTGGCGGATCGGGGTTCGCGAGACGCAAAGAAAGAAAAAGAGGAAGAGGGAGAATGACGAGGGGAAAAACACGAACGGTTCGAAACGCACAGCCTCGCGCAGACGCGTAGCGAACCGCGGGAATTCGGTGGCCGATCTTTGAGAGAGAAGGATAATTAGCTCGAACCAATTGAAATTAAAACCGGATTTTAATCCTATTGGCGGAGTTTTTTATCCATCGAAAGGTACGATACTTAAGCGGCAAACGACACGTAAAACGGATCGAGGTGTTCCTTTTAAGATGACACTCTCTCTTTCTCTCTCACGAGAAGCACGAGCGAGCAGATTCGAATCTCTAATTAATAGAATGCGGATTAATCCGTGTGTTAAAGCGACGCGAGAATAGAGTACGCATCGAAATCGCGTAGATGCGTGTTTAATCCGCTTACGATCACTTGTATATATATATATATACGATAGAAACCACTTTTCGAGAGTTGTAAGTCTCTAATCTCCTCTCTCCCCTCTCTCTCTCTTTCTCTCTAAGTTAAACCATCGGCCATCTGGATTAAGATTCCATCCCCATCCCCGCCCCGTAACGTCGTACGAATTATTCGTATATGCGAACTTCCAACAACGATCCAACTTTTTGGGATGATCGATGGCAGGAACGGTTTCTCGTTTTCGATCCGAGCGGAAAAAAAATAATAGAGCGCGTTAATTAACGCGGGACGGGTTTCTTATTCGACCCCTTTTTGACCCTCGTTTTCACGCGTTTCAACGATACTTGTTACCTTGTCCAATAAAGTATCGTGTTCGTATTAACGAAGTGTTCGTACACAACGTGATCAGAGACAACAAAGACACCGTCAGTTAGTTGGGCGGGGGAACAGTTGGGGGAGAACGAGCCCGCGGTGGAGAGTGGAGTGGGAGCGGGGATTTGATTTCCAACCCGTGGAAAAAACTCCAGCCGTTAAGTAATTAATTTCGCGGTGCTGCGAGACTCGTTAAAAATTTGAACAACCAACCCCTCCCTCCCTCCCTCCCTCCCTCCCACCCCTCCTCGCTCTCCATCGATCGACCAACGCTGCGCGATACCTCGACACGGGGAATTTGCTGAATTTTATTTTATACCCCAGTTCCACCTTCCTTCCCCATTATTCCCCAACTCGAAGAAACGAACCAAACGTAACGCGCCTACCAAACTCGCCCCTGCCGCGATTACGTTTCGACCTTCGCTCCCAGAGTGAAAAATTTCCGCTCTCGTTCGCGGCAAAACGGTCGCGAAATTTACACGACCGCGATATCTGGATCTGGGGAGGGGAAAAAAAAGCGTAACTCAACCCTTCCCTCTCTCCCCCCCCCCTCCCCATCCGTCACCGCGGTTAAACGCGATAATTTTCGCGATAGCACGGGCGCGTGTTCGGTTCAATTCGGTTCGTGGCAAGGAGTTGGCGCGGAGACTCGAGGGGACGTTCTGGGAAATGAATTCGCCGGTTTGTTATACGAATACGCGTAAAGTCTTGTACGTGGCTCGAATGCGTCCCTAAACGGAAACAGAAGTTGTTGCGGGGTAAGTGGGTTCCGAGAGTGCGACGCGCATTCTATACATTCTATACTGTTTCACGGCTCTATATCGGAAACACATCCGACGTCAACTCAGCTTCGTCCCGGTTAACGAATAAACCGAGTCTGACCGGCCATCTCTCTCTCTCTCTCTCTCTCTCTCTCTCTCTCTCTCTCTCTCTCTCTCTCTCTCGTTGGAAGCTGAACGAGAATAATGTTCCCCCTCCCCTCTTTAATAATCCGCATTAGTTAACAAGCTACTGAAAAGCAGCACAATTAAAACGACGAGCGTAGTAAACTCGATCCTTCGTGCAATCGGACTTGCTAATCTTTCTCCGGAGGAGGGGGAGGAGAAATAACGATCGAAGCGAGGAGAGAGAGAGGGAACGGATGGTCGTTTCAACGTAGAGCGGAGTTAATGCAAGGAGGAAGCGGTAAAGAACCCGCAAATCCGTGTACCGGGTGGATCCAACGTGTGGTCGAGGTAGATTGGTCGAGGAGATCGGTAAAGTGGCCGGTGGTCCCGTGTTTCGTGAACTTTAATCACACGGATCCGACTCTCTCCCTCTCTCTCTCTCGTGTTTCGTTGCTGCTTAATGGATATCCTATCCGTAGTGTTGGCCTTCGATATAGGTGTACCGGAAACCCGGCTAAACCGCAAGATAAAGTTGCCACTCCTATCGAAAAGGGGCGATCGCTTTACCTACGCCAATTCCACTTCGATTCGTTCGCGATGATAAAAGAAATTCTCCTCTCTCTTTCTCTCTCTCTCTCGATATTCCAATGCCTCTTCCATCGATTCGTTTATCAGTGGTTACGCGGGGAGAGATCGTTCTCGCCGTTAGAAAGAAGAAGAAGAAGAAGAAGAAGAAGGAGCGCAACGGTTGGAGAAACGCTTTCGACGATCGAAATTACACGGGTGCGACGTAATGTAATTGAAGCGGACGCTGCATTACCGACTGCTATTCCCGCGGACGGGACGGGAAACGTTGTACAGCGTGGTCGAGAACATCTTGAAATTGGTCGGGAGTACCGAGCGGAGTGACCGGAGGTAGTAGCTCGGTAAACTTTGATCAGTCGAGACCAAACTCTCCGCCTAATCCCACTTACTTAATGGCGTCGTCGTCCCTCCCTCACTTCCAATATTTCAACGCGAATCTAAATTGTATCCGTGTAACAACGTCAAATCGAAATACATTCCGTTTATAGACCGGAAACTGATACGAGCCGAGGCGGTAACAAACGTTCCATTCATTCGGGACGGGACTTGGGACGAGCAGCGATCACAGGCATCAGCGGATCTATCTATCGTCTTATCGAGATTTCGTGTACGTGTTACACGAAGTCTAAAGTGGAACGTCAGTTCTGATAAAAAAAAAATTTATTATAATATTATAATTTCGTAAAACGATTATAATTTCGTAAAACGATTCCAACATTTGATTCGATTTCCTTCGATTAATTCTTTTCTCTTTTTCTTTTTTTAATATCTAATATTATACCGAATATTCACCCATGTATCGAGATACAAAAATGACATACATAGGTTCATAGATTTATAGTCTTCGAGTTACGTGCGAAATATTTTATCCTAGATTTCCTTCGATTAATTCTTTTTCGTTTTTTCTTTTTCTTTTTTTAATATCTAATATCATACCGAATATTCACCGAGATATAAAAATGATATACTTCATAGATTTATAGTCTTCCAGGTACGTGCGTTTTATCCTAGATTTCCTTCGATTAATTCTTTTTCGTTTTTTCTTTTTCTTTTTTTAATATCTAATATCATATCGAATATTCACCAAGATACAAAAATGATATACTTATATATACAGATTCATAGATTTATAATCTTCGAGTTACGAAACGTCAGTCTATCCTAGATTTCCTTCGATTAATTCTTTTTCGTTTTTTCTTTTTTTTTTTTTTAATATCTAATATTATACCGAATATTCACCGAGATACAAAAATGATATACTTATATATACAGATTCATAGATTTATAATCTTCGAGTTACGAAACGTCAGTTTATCCTAGATTTCCTTCGATTAATTCTTTTTCGTTTTTTCTTTTTTTTTTTTTAATATCTAATATTATACCGAATATTCACCCATGTATCGAGATACAAAAATGACATACTTAGGTTCATAGATTTATAGTCTTCCAGTTACGTGCGAAACGTTTTATCCTAGATTTCCTTCGATTAATTCTTTTTCATTTTTCTTTTTTTTTTTTTTTAATATATCTAATATCATATCGATATCTAATATCATACCGAATATTCACCGAGATACAAAAATGATATACTTATATATACAGATTCACAGATTTATAATCTTCGAGTTACGAAACGTCAGTCTATCCTAGATTTCCTTCGATTAATTCTTTTTCGATATCTGACCGTTACTGAATATGAATACTGAATCATCGATTAGATTCGTAGATTTATAGTCTTGGAGTTACGCGCGAAGCATCAGCTTATCTCCCCGATACCCTTCGCTCTCGCGAAAATACGAAACACGGTTTCGATACACGGATGGATGATAGATTTTTTTCGAATCGAACGAAAGAGGGAAAGAACGGACGAGCTATCGAGGAACATAATTTACTTACTTTTGTTGATTATTGTTGGCGGTGGGCATAGGGGTCGGCACCCTCGGCGGCGGGACCGGTATCGCTTTTCTTCTTCCTCCACCTGTTTGATGTATGGTCGGAGTTACGCGTCCGGTCGGTGCTATCCGGCCAGCCGTTCGAGCCCTCTCTGTCCGTACATCCATGTCGTCTCTGCAAATAATCCAAAATGCCCCGCGCTGTAAGACCTCCTGCCGTACAGATAAAACTTCGCGGATTCTTCTCTCTCTCTCTATATATATTTTTTTTATTCTTTTGTTTCTCTCGACTATCTCTACCCACTCTCTCTCTCTCTCTCTCTCGTCCAGAAAGGCCAGAAATTGCGACGAGGAAACGAGTCAAATGTAAAAGGTAGTCGGCAAAAAAAACGAAATTATTACGAGACGCATTAGTAACCGGGACACAAAAGTGCCATTTTCTCTTACGACTCGCAAGGCCAGGCAGACATCACAGGGATTGCCGGTGAACTTGGAAAGAGCGATCCCGAAAGTCGCGCGCACAGAGAGGAGAGGAGAGGAGAGAGCGCGACGAGGACAAAGATCGAGACTCGCTTTCCACGCCGAATTCGATTCTTTCGAACGTTTCAATTATTTTCCTCCACGCATTAGCACATTTCGTTCGATGATAATTGCGCCACCGCAATTGAACGGCATACGTTCAACCTCGAACGAGCCTCGCTCGTTCCTTTCTTTTCCAAATTGCAAGAGAGCAATTGCGCCCCATTTTTTTAATAATCGCCGCATTATTCAAACGTGTCATTAATTTCTCCGTTATTTTCAACCTTGTTTCCGCGGCAACAATAAGCCGCGCCCAATTATTTCCACAACCGATACCCCGTCAGGTAAAAGAAATGAAAGAAAGGAAAAAAAAAAAAGAGCAACGCGTCAAGCGAAACGCGGAGTGCGTTCCCAATTAAGCGCATACCCTCGCTAATTCACCTCGATAAAAACGTTAGAATCTAGGGTGGCTACTCTCGACCGAGATGCTCGCGCGAGGAAGCGCGTACCGTTTTGCGTAACGGAATTTCAATTAATGACAGAGACGCGGTACGTCAGACTGCAGCGAGCCATTTCAATGAGCGCTTTCAGCGTCGGGCCGCCAACCGAAGCGACGCTTCGCCTCTCGTCCTCGTCTCGTTTCTTTCCCCCCCTCCCTCCGTTCGCGCAACGTCACCACCCTTAATTCGATCCTTTCTTCCTTCTTCTCTCTTCGTTCGCGCGGCTACGCCATTTGTTTATCCTCCGCATTATTGCACGCGTCTCGAATTTTCGAGATCGAAGGACGGCGGGCATTGAGGGATTTTTAAACGGAGGCAGAGAGAGAGAGAGAGAGAGAGAGAGAGAGAAGCGTTCGCGATCCTCGTGCGAGGAAAGGGATCGGAAGAAAGGGACCAGTTCGAAAGTGCTCGCCGACCTTCTCAACCGTGACTCGAAATCGCGGAGGTTCAAAAGATCCTCTCCAAGAGGAGAAGACGAGGAGGAAGAAAAGGGGTTAAAGGGTTGGCCGCTGCGCACTTCCGGAACCCCTTCGTTCGAACGAACGAACGAACGAACGGGTTTTCGGGAAAACATAATGTATCGCGAAAAGGGAGTTGAAGATGAGTCGAGGGGAGGGGAAAAAAAAAAAAAGGTAAACTCCTTCAGAAAGGCAAGCGGTATCACGGATACTCGTGAGCCCTCCTCTCGTCGGATCCATTCTTCGAAATTCGTCGGCTCCGCGATCTAACCGCTCTTGCGGAACGAGTACCACCTTTCGCCAACTTCCGCCGAGCTTTTTCATGCGTATCGTTAAGATGGATGGGAACCGCGAGTTATATATATATATATATATATATATCCCTTTCCTTTTTTTCGGCGAAGATGTGATAATAGAAAAGTGGAGCAGGATATATAAAAGAAGAAAAAAGAAAAAGAAGAAGAGAAGAAAAATTACGTTGATAAAATTAGGAAACGACGCGAGCGCTCTAAACGGGAAGATCGAATTTGGAAGAAGGCGGTTTCCTCCTTATTGCTCGCGAGGAGGACAGGATGTTCAATCGAGTTCAATCGTCGATTCAATCTCTTCCAACTCCCTTCCCTTCTCATGGGTAAGAAGGGAGGGAGGAGAAGGGGAGGGAAGGTAATTCGATTGGCATCGATGCATAAATCACGCGGAGAAGGAAGGCGCAAACAGGTGTGCGTCCGTTCGATTCGAGGCCTTGGCAACGCGCGCGCCTCCCGGATTCCGGATTCGGAATTATCGACTCTCTCTCTCTCTCTCTCTCTCTGTCTCTCGGTTCGACGATTCGAATCGGTGGACGAAACGCTTCGACGAGCCGCGTTGTCCAACGCAAGCCGCGCACAATGAGCTCGTTAAGCCCGAACGCGATTCGATTATGGGGGGAGGATATCGATGCGAGTTCCTCGCCGTCTTCGACGCCACTGCGTTTCGAGATCTGCCCACACCGAAATCCGAGATCTCGTCCGGAATATGACGAACCGAAGGGGCGAGAAAGGAGAACGAAGGAAGAGGAACGGTACGCGCAGACATCCGGGAAAATTACCGAGGACCCGATATCGACTTTCAGAATGGGAACCATTCCGAACGCGAAATTATCGCTTTTAATCACCACCGGATCCTTCGCCATCCCTTTACCACCCGATATCCCTTCCTCTCTCTCTCTCTCTCCCTCTCTCTCTCTCGTTTCAAGCCTCGTTTCACCCATGCATCGGCTCGAACGACCCGTGGTAACACGGCGAAGGGAGGAGCACGGAGTGCAACAACAACAACGAACTCCCCTTCCCACCCTCCCCCTCCCTTTTTTCCCGACAACGGAACGTTTCGGCGTAAACAGAAACAGGATATCCCGCGAAAGAAGGCTGGGAGCGATTCGCGAGGCTTTCACCCCTTCTTGCGAGGGCACCTCGATGGGAGGAGGGGAGGGGGGGAGCACAATCGAAGGAAGAAAAGGACACGGTTCGCGTAATCTTTCGAGCGTGGCGCAACATTGTTGTCACGGACGCTTTGCCCTCTCCGCGGAAAGAATAGATGGAGGAGAGCGGAATGCTGTTGGGTACGATCATTATTTCTCGATGCGTGTATAGCACAGGCGGGGGACTCTCCGGCAAGACAATGCGCGTAGCCAAGTTGGTTAAAATATGCAGCCCCCGGCCGTGCGTGGTTTCGCGCGTCTCTCTCTCTCTCTCTCTCTCTCTCTCTGCCGGTGTATCAACCACCACGTCTAGAACGGGGTGTCGTGCAGCACGCCGGGGGAAAGGGGGTCGCGGAAGGCTCGTGTGTTTATATTCGCAAATAAACGCGAGCGCGTGCACGACGACGACGACGACGACGACGACGACGACGAGTACGATTACGAATACGACGACGTGTGCACAGGTGAAAAGAGGAGGGGAGAAAAAAAAAAAGAGAAAGAAAGAAAGAAAGAAAGAAAAAGGGAAAAAATCCTGTCGCTGGTCGACACGACGCTGGCGAGACGAGGGCTCGATGAGGGGAGAGAGAAGGTCAGAGAGGAGGAATGGAGAAAGAAAAGGGGCGGTGGAAGCGAGGAAGGGTGGCGAAAACAAACTCCTGCCGCGGCAGAGGCGAGCACAATGGGAGCATCTGCTTAGCAAATTGCGAAAAATAATCACGTTTGCCCGGGATTCCGCGTAGCACGGGAGCGGAGGCATCTCGAAAGCTGTCGTATCCCGTATAACACAATAACGCCTACTCGACAGCCGACAAATGCGTTCCAGAGGAGGGAGAGGGGCGAAGTCCAAGTTGGCATTGGATATAGGGATACGTATATATACAATGTGTATAAGGGAAAAATACGAACGAGTGAAAAAGCGAAGCTGGTATTCCTAGCGGGAAATGTGTACGTATATCGCGAGACAATATGATCGCATTCGAGAAGTAGTAGCGAAGTTCGCGCACGTTCCCTTACGACGACACGCCAGGATCTCTTCGCGAGCCGATGAATGCGTCACACGCCACTCTCCTCCCCCTCCTCCTGCCTCCGCGATATCGCGTTTTCTCCCCAACTCTTGGCGACTCCTCCTCCATCCATTTCCGCGCTAGTAATTATTTTCACGGTGTATTAAGTCGACGTAGAAATTTGCGCGTTATTGAAATTACGGAAATCGTTGCGGGGCCTCGTCGTTTCACGCTTCCGCTCACACCGCGCACAATATTTGTTCTTCACCGACAATGTAGTATCGAGTATCTATCCTCGATAGATAATTTATTTTGTTCGCGAAATATATTTTCGTATCCAATTTTTTCTGATTTTCCCATCGAACTCCTTTCTATATTACAATATTATTATGTACAAATGCTATAGTTCTCGCCTTTGATCGTGTGTATTCTTATACACGCATCCGTGCCGTGTATACACCGATACGGAATACATTTATTTACATTTGTCACTCGATCGATTAATTCCATTCGATGGAGCGATAATGAGGCGGTTGACGGATCGAATCGTTTTCCGCGCCATTTGTTACGGGGTGCCGATAACGACGAGGATGAGGATCTAGGCGAGATAAATAAAAATAGGCGTGGACGGGATAAAAAATATTTCCTTGTTCGCGAGAAAACTCGTTTTACGGGGGACAGAGGGGAAATTTATCGAGGGTATATTGTCCTCGACGATCCATCGATTCCTATTAATCATCGACGCGATACCGGTGAAACCGTATGCAACCGAAATACCGCGCGTATATAAAGGGCTTTTTCATCTCGTGGCACGCGTTGACCGGTCTCCGCGTTCTTACGCGAATCGATTATCGCGGCAATGATCGAGCAACGCGTGGAATTGTTCACGAATCGAGCAAAAATTCGACGGAATTTGACGCGGTATTGAAATCCCGATGTTTCGGGAACGAACGTGTAACACGAATGTGAAATCGAAATTCGATGAATATAGCACAGCGCGATCGTTCGAATTAACACACCCGTTTAGAATAATTCGATCGATGCCTGTCGAGGGAGACAAGGCAAACAAGCCGCGACAATATTTGCGCGCATACGTGATTTAGCCCGTGTTTGTTTAGATACGTATAAACGATCTATGTATCACTTTCGCGGGACAGGCGGACTTTATAAATCCGGGACTACAAATTAGTTTATCTTCGGATCGGTGTTTAGCAGACGTTGAAAAAAACCGGCCTCTG